GCACCAGCAGGTAGAATTGCTCTTGAAGTAATCCCAACACTTCTCAAGTTGCATCAAAAGAAGTTCCTTTTGCATTCAATACCTGTTAGCCACTAAACCTATTAAGAGTCTATTCAGAGGGCTGGGTTTTACCTCTTGGTTTAGTCGCACCTCCACCAAGAGCCTTTTCTGTCGTTCTTGTGGGCAGGACTTGCACTTTTGTTTGTTATTCTCTTGGCATTAATCCACAGCCCTTTCTTGCTGTACTCTGGTATTTTATAAATCCAGTCACATCTAACTGTCTTGTTTTATTCTTTTCCAAACACACCTTAGAGCATTTTGGGTTTTTTTGTTTTGTATTGTTTTGCCTTTTTCAGAGGCCAAAGAACTTTATCCTAATTTCTAAAGAAACAGTGAAGTTTCTTTGTGTGGTGGCTCATGCCTGTAATCCCAGCACTTTGGGAGGCCGAGGTGGGCAGGAGTTTGAGACCAGCCTGGCCAATGTGGTGAAACCTCATCTCTACTAAAAATAAAAAATTAGCCAGGCATGGTAGTGCCCACCTGTAATCCCAGCTACTCAGGGGGCTGAGGCAGGAGAATTGCTTGAACCTGGGAGGTGGAGGTTGCAGTGAGCTGAGATTGTGCCACTGCACTCCATGCTGGGCAACAAAGTGAGACTCCATTTCAAAAAAAAAAAAAAGAGGCAGTGAAAAGTTATTATTTTCTAGTGAGAAAAGAACATCATAGAAATGCAAAGCAATAATTCATATGTATACGAATCATATATGTTATATAAACATACACATATATATTTAGAGGAGGTCTTTTTTTTTTTTTTTTTGGTGTGGTGACTATATAGGTCCTGGTGATCCTTCTGCTAATATTCATTCCCCATTGTACTGTTAAGAGCCATAGCCCTTCTTTTTTTTTTGAGATGGAGTCTTGTTCTGTCGCCCAGGCTGAGGTGCAGGCATGCAACCTCCACCTCCCGTGTTCAAGCCATTCTCCTGCCTTAACTTCCCAGTAGCTGGGATTAGAGGCACCTGCCACCATGCCAGCTAATTTTTATGTTTTTGGTAGAGATGGGGTTTCGCCATGTTGGCCAGGCTGTTCTCCAACTACTGACCTCAGGTGATCCAGCTGCCTCAGCCTCCCAAAGTGTTGGGAGTACAGGCTTTTTTTTTCTTCTTCTTCTTCTTGAGACAGGGTCTCACTCTGCTGCCCAGACTTGAATGCAGTGGCCTGATCACAGCTCACTGAAGCTTTGACCTCCCAGGCTCAGGAAATCCTTCCACTTTAGCCTCCCAAGTATCTGGGACTACAGGCACACACCACCATACCCAGCTAATTTTTACTTTTTTATAGAGGTAGATTCTCCTATTGCACAGGCTTAAACTCCTGGCCTCAAATAATCTTCCTACCTCACCCTCCCAAACTGTTGGAATTACAGGCGTGAGCCACCACACCTGGTCAAATTTTGTTTTTCAATCAGCTACACTTGAGTTATTTTTCTATTGACTGGAGGCCCTAGAGAGCAATGGCAGAAAAAGCCAGTGGGAAACCATGCTGGGGAAGGCAGGAAGGGAAGGCCAGTCTGGCATTTCCTGGCCCTTGCAGCAGCAGGTGTTTTCTGGAAAGTGGGTAAGAGAAAGATGAAGCTTAGGTCTGGGTTAAAATTGTCACTTTCTCTCTGACTGGGAGGGTGATGTTCACTGATGTTTCTTCAGCTGGGCTCAAAGAAGAGGCAGCAGGATGCATGATGAGGAACGATCCCACTTCTCTTCAGAAGTCACTGCATAACATATTTTTGCTTACTCATAAATACCAGTGGAGTTGATTTCACACTACGCCTTCAATTCTAGAACATCCACACTGATGAGAGACTAGCTTAAATTGTAGTCATTCTAGAGACAGGAAAGTGAGGTGCGGGGGAGGTGGGACTCCATGTCCCCTGGGTTTAAGATGTTGGACTCTAGATTTTTTTTTTTTTTTTTTTTTTTGCTTACTGCTCACTTCACAAGCACATGTTTTGTTTTGTTTTGTTTTGTTTTTTAATGAGACAATATCTCCCTCTGTTGCCAGGCTGGAGTACAGTGATGTGATCTCTGCTCACTGCAACCTCCATCTCCTGGCTTCAAGTGACTCTCCTGCCTTAGCCTCTGGAGTAGCGGGGACTACAGGTGCGCACCACCACACCCCACACCCCACACCCAGCTAATTTTTGTATTTTTAGTAGACACGGGGTTTCACCATGTTGGCCAGGATGGTCTCGATCTCTTGACCTCAGGTGATCCACCCACCTTGGTCTCCCAAAGTGCTGGGATTATAGGTGTGAGCCACCGTGTCCGGTGCACAAGCACATTTAAGTGTTGACGTAACCCCACGCTTTCTATTATTGATCCTTCCCCCACTTCAATCCTTACCTACCAGGACCATATACTTAAGGCACTCTCCTAGGGGCAAAATTTAAAGATGTGCTAAAAAGTCTCAGTAATCAAATAATGCAAACTTTATTTAAATTGAAAAAATTTTAAAAGTCAGATTTTATGAGATTTTTGAAAAGAAACGGGATAGTTTTCATCTTGCATCTTGCTAACTCCTCTTTGTTATTTGAGACACAGTCTTGCTGTGTTGCCCAGGCTGGAGTGCAGTGATGTGATCTCAGCTCACTGCAGCCTCCACCTCCTGGATTCAAGCGATTATCCTGCCTCGGCCTCCCAAGTAACTGAGACTACAGCATGCACCACCAAGCCTGGCTAATTTTTGTATTTTTAGCAGAGACAGAGTTTCACCATGTTAGCCAGGCTGGTCTCGAACTCCAGACCTCGGGTGATCCACCTGCCTTGCCTCCCAAAATGTTGGGATTACAGGCATAAGGCACCATGCCCGCCACTACTCCTTTTTGAGCCCAACTAAAGAAACATCAAGGATTGATACCCTCCCAGTTGGAGAAAACGTGACAATTTTAACCCAAATCTAACCTTCATCTTTCACTTTGCTGTTTTCCAGCTGCCAAACGAAGGGCAGCTGCTGTCAGTTTTTGTAAATACAGTTTCCAGGGCTGGTATTAGGGCGAGAGAGAGGAGAGGCAGGATTGTGAACGGTCAGGAGTAGATACTGAATTAAAAATGTTGACATTTTGTTCATTATGGATTTTTTGCATTAATTTTGATTTTTAAAAATACTGCACTAGCCAGGCACGGTGGCTCACGCCTGTAATCCCAGCACTTTGAGAGGCCAAGGTGGGCGAATAACCTGAGGTACGGAGTTCGAGATCAGCCTGACAAACATGAAGAAACCCCATCTCTACTAAAAATACAGAATTAGCCGGGAGTGGTGGCGCATGCCTGTAATCCCAGCTACTCGGGAGGCTGAGACAGAAGAACCGCTTCAATCCGGGAGGCGGGAGTTGCGGTGAGGCAAGATCGCGCCATTGCACTCCAGCCTGGGCAACAAGAGCGAAACTCCGTCTCAAAAAAAAAAAAAAAAAAAAAAATTTGTACTAAAATGTTTATGTTGATTATTGAGGTTTTTTGTTTTGTGAACCTATAACATTTGCAACGGAGGCCAGTACCCTGTCCAGGTCCAGGAAAAATACCTATGAGTCTAAAAAATCTACCCACCTTCTTCAACCATGACTCACTGTGCCCCAGGTACAGATTCCCCCAACCATGAAGTCTCCATAAAATGTCCCAGTTTTAATGTCCTCTCCTGTCTTTCCTTGCACGTGTATTCAGATACTTTGCATTCTGATTGGTCTTCTGCACTTCGGGAAGCCGGAATGCCTCCATCACGTCTGCCTTCAAATTTCTGCTCTCGTTAAGAAACGATCTCTTCCCTTCTCAAAGTTATACACATTTCACTATTCGCCAACCACCGCCTCCACACGCCGTCCACAGCTGAACTGACTCGCAGCGAAGTCCTCTCAGTAGTCCCTCCGCATGTCAGCCCTGTGCTTGGCAGCGAGACCGGTGACAGGGCCGCTCCAGCCGTCTCCAGCACGCTGTCCTCCCGCCCCCATCCTTGTGCCGGCCTTCATACGGTCGCGTCTGCGCGCTCCGCCTGTCTGCAAGCGTGAGAAAGAGCTCGTGCCGCTTCCAAGTTCAGACCAGAGGGTACGGTGAAGCGCGAAAAAGTTCCCCGCGCGCAGTACGCAGGCGCAGCTGTGCTCCAAGGCTTTCGGGGCCTTGTCCCGGGCCGCGCGCCAGGCGCTCCTTAGCTAGTGGGCAGTTGGGGGCGCTGCGGGAACGGCACCCGAGCGGGTGGGGGGGGCTCTCGGAAGGGTGGCGTGCAAGGTCAGGGTCGCAGTCCCCGGGGTGGTGTGGAGGGGCGCGGCACCGCGCGGACGAGGATGGGACCCGCGCGGCCGGAGCCTGCCGGCACGATAAAGCGGGTGACAGCCGGCGGGGAGGGGCGGGCGCCACCGCGTCCACGCCCTTTACTCGGGGCCGGGCCTGGAGGGTCCTCCGGCTTTGCGCGCTCCTGGCCGGCGGACTGAGGCGTACGGGTCGGACACGGCGCCATGCGCGGTCCCCCTGCCTGGCCGCTGCGGCTGCTCCCGCCAAGGGTCCCGGCCGCTCCAGGGCGGCTCCTGCCGGTAGCCTGCGTGTGGGCCCCGGCCGGCCGCGCCCCCAGGTCCCTATTGCCGCTCACTGGCCTGAGGCCGGCGCGGCTTGGGGGCTTTAGAGCCGCGCGCCTCTGGAGGAGCTGCTGCCAAGGCGGGGGTCTGGGCGGCTCGGGGGGCGGCGCGGGCCTCGCGCGGCTCTTGGGGCTTTGGGCTCGGGCCCCCAGCAGCTGCAGGTGCGGGGCGTTCGCCAGGCCAGGCGCTCCTCGGCTCCCGCGCGCAGGGTTCCCGGGCGGTCCCGCAGCCACTGCCTGGGCGGGGAGCGAGGCCTGGCGGCGCGGGCCGACGGCGCCTCCCGGGGACGACAGGAGGCTGCGCCCCGCAGCGGCCGGACTCTCGGAGGCCCGGAAGCTCCTGGGGCTGGCGTACCCTGAGCGCTGGAGGCTGGCAGGTAGGGCCCTCCCCGGCCATTTCCCTCCGCCGGACTTCTCCTTCTCCACTCGCGGGATCCCGGGGCGCCGAGGCGGGCAGAGCCGGGCCGCAGAGCGCCTGTCACCACCGCCCTCTCCTGGGCCGCTCTGAACCCCGGAGGAGGGAGGGGATAGCTCACCTTAGAGTAGCGCTGTCAATATTTCACCTTAGCTGGGGACTCATTCGTTCGCAGATTTGTGGTACACTTGTTTTCTTGTTGACACACATTATACATGTCATTATTGGAGTCTTTGAGTCTGCTCCGCCACCAACTTAGTGGGAGCATCTGTTTCGGCTTAGGCAGTAAAATTAGCTGGAGGTTTGTCCTTGGAAAAAAAAAGTATTCTAGCCAAAAATATGTCTATTTTGTTATTAGGCATTTATACTATCTATTTTATTTATTTATTTTTACCAAAAAACCCTCATTATTTGCTTTAAGCGAGTCAAGCAGTCCCCAATGCTTTTACAACGGAAAGCAAAACTTTCAGACTTATCTCACGTGCTGTAAGCGGGAAGTTACGGTACTGTGTTCAGCAGTCCACACCAGCCAGTGATCTGTTCAGTAATTGAGTAATTTTTTTTTTTAAGAAACCAAAATGAGGGCCGGGCGCGGTGGCTCACGCCTGTAATCCCAGCACTTTGGGAGCCCGAGGCGAGTGGATCACGAGGTCAAGAGATCGAGATCATCCTGGTCAACATGGTGAAACCCCGTCTCTACTAAAAATACAAAAAATTAGCTGGACATGGTGGCGCGTGCCTGTAATCCCAGCTACTCAGGAGGCTGAGGCAGGAGAACTGCCTGAACCCAGGAGGTGGAGGTTGCGGTGAGCCGAGATCGCGCCATTGCACTCCAGCCTGGGTAACAACAGCGAAACTCCGCTCAAAAAAAAAAAAAAAAAAAAAAAAAAGAAAGAAAGAAACCAAAATGAATGTTTCTAAAAGAAACAAAATTTAAATAGAATAGTTTTCTATAGCTCCTCGTTTTTTAGTTATAATTGGAGGAATGTTTAGACACAAGGACCTTGTAAGGTCTAAAATGTTTTAGATTTCTCTAAAATAAATCTTCATCCCTTCCATAAGCCTTTGTTGAGCCCTCATTCTGGACTAGGCCTTGGGGTTATGTTGCCATGCACAAGGAGACATGGTCCCTGCTTCTGCTGGGGCTTCCAACTTAGTGGGGAGAAGCATCTGTGAAATATTCGTATGTTGAGAGGTAAACCTACAACTGTAGACGGTAGTGATTTGGGATTTAGAGTACGTTTGCACAGTGGAGGAGAGCAGTTAGGGTGGCAGCTTTTTTTGGCGGGGGGAATGGAGTCTTGCACTGTGGCTTGGGCTGGAGTGCAATGGCCGATCTTGGCTCACTGCAACCTCTGCCTCCTGGGTTCACGCAATTCTCCTGCCTCAGCCTCCCAGGTTGCTGGGATTACAGGTGCACACTACCACACCCGGCTAATTTTTTGTGTTTTTAGTAGAGACGGGGGTTTCACTATGTTGACCAGACTAGTCTGAAACTCCTGACCTCGTGATCCACCCGCATTGGCCTCCCAAAGTGCTGGGATTACAGGCATGAGCTACTGCACCCAGCCAGGGTGGCAACTTTTCATCTGCCACTTACTATGAAAGCTTAGGGGAGCTCTTGGTATCACTTGAGTATAAAGAGAGTTATTTCATTGTTCAGTCAGTTGAGTGTAGATTTTCATGTAAAGATCTTTTTCTCTTTCCTCCTTTTAAAAGCATTTGAGACTAGGAGCTCTCATTGGACTTTGAGCTGCTTGAGACAGGGACTATGTCTGATTCATCTTTCTGTGTCCAGTTCTTAGCATGTGCGCAGCACAGAGTAGGCACTCAGAGTGCCTTAAGAGAAGGAATAAATGACCATACCACCAGGCACAGAGGGAGGCCTTAAGAAACCCTAAGCATCATAGGGTGCACCCACCACTTCTGTATGTGACTCAAAGTAAGTGTAAGGAAATACAGTTCTGTTTTGTTTCTGAAATATTAGATGTCAGGAAGGGTGTTTAGGTGTCAGGCTTTGGTGATGCTTGCATGTGCCCAGTCCTGCCTATCCATGACCATTGTTCCTCTGACCCCTTACCCTGTCCCCAGATATCCTGCCATGCTAGTATGTTTTGGTGACAGCCTTAAACAAGGCAAGACTGCCTCTTTTTTCTTTCTTCCTATTGTTTTTCTTAGATGGGGGTTTCACTGTGTTGCAGAGACTCGTGCTGAACTCCTAAGCCCAAGCAGTCTTGCCTCGACCTCCCGAGTACTTCGGACTACAGACATGTGCCACCACACCCAGCTTGCACCTCTTTTTAAGAACAGGAGATACTTTGTTCCACCACATTGAAAAATTATGAATATGTAATTTGAAGAAACAAGCCTAAAGTTGGCACACTAATTTTTTTTTTTTTTTTTGCTTCTCAAATAGATAAATGCCTATTGTATGTTATGAGGAAATCTGATGAAAAGCCCTTATTTAGACATACGATTTCCTGAGAAGTCATTATATACTAAAGCCAGTTTGGATGGTATTTACAGGATTAAGAGGAAATAGGGATCATTGTTAATTTGTAGTTTTAAAAAAATGTGTAATTTATCATTCTAAGAGCAGCCTCAGATGTTGGCACATCTCTGAAATGCTGGAGATAAAGAGCAATCGTGTGTGTGTGTGTGTGTGTGTGTGTGTGTGTTTTAAAACATTAAAAAAACTAAGCTGAAAAGGAATTCCAGTGTTAATTCATTAATTTTTAGAAAAACAAGTACAAAAATCCTTTTTCAAAAACACAGCTTTGTATTTTAATAATAATACCTCCATCTGTCTCAGCATTTTGTAAAAACTGTGTGAACAGAAAACTTTGATAAGTAGTTTATATCAGAAACTACCGTGAAATGTGTACACACCTGTGCCAATAGCAGTTTTAGCGAAAGTGTATTTCATTCCTCTCCTAAAGGAAGGCCTAAGCTGCCCCTTTGTCCCTTGGGAGGAATTTGCAGCTATCTTCATACAGAAAGGTCCCTTTTCACTGATAACTCTCTATCTTATCACTTTGGCCAGAAGGAATCTTAAAAGATGCAGGTGCTTCAGGAGAAGGGATGTGGACTGATGGGATAAGTGGCACTTCATCAGAACCCTCTGGCTGTGCCTGGCAGATAGAGGAGGCTCTGACCTCAGTGAGTTAGGGGTGGGGTTTCAGGAGCAACTGTGGGCCCCTAGGGTACTATGAGATTAGGGCAAAGCTGCCTCCTGGAGTTTCTTTGTATGGGACGTTGCAGGGGTGGGGCAGCATTCCTTCCCCACACCTCGTGGACAGGCTCCTCATTAGACGGTGGACTGTACACATCTATCCCCTCCGTTGCAGTGTGTGCAGTTGGTGCATGTGTGGGGGACTCAGAAGCGCTCCTCTCACTTCGATTACTGACAAGGGGTTGGTGTGTGGTTTGAGATCAGGACTACTCTGTGAACCTGAAACCTGCTGACAGCTTTAGCTGAGTTTATAGTTATATTTATGAAGATGGACCATGAGTGGCCACAGTGAATATAGTGAGAACAGCAGTGGGTATGGTGGACGAGGAGGCCAGAGTAGCTGCTTCCTGAATCCCGGTCAGGACGGAGATCCCACACTCGGGGCCAGGGAGGATGAACCTTTGAAATTGGAACTGCCCCCGGCAGCCAGGAATGTGCATGTACTATGGAAATACCTTGTTTCAGAGGAAATGTGAGCACTCTGTAGCTGTGCTACAGAGAAAAATGTAAAATATGTTAGAGAAAATATACGTTTAGAGAACATGTATATATTTCTCTAAAATATATGTTTAGAGAAAAAAATGTAAAATATGTTACTAGCTTCTTGTGCTGATCATATGTGTATAATATTTTAGATACATTGGGTCAAGTAAAATGTTATTAAAATTAATTTTACCTATTCCTTTTTTAATGTAGCAACTAGAGAAGTTTAAATTACCTAGGTGGCTCCCATCATGTCTGTTAGAGTCCATGGCGAGCCCCACTGGTTCATGGGGCAGGTACCCCAACTCTGTTTTTTTTTAATTTTGTCTTTGGGGTACCCCTAGCTTTAGAGCATGCTGATAGCATAGGCAGAGTCTGATATTGCACAAGACACGTGGGGGCTTGGATATTTGTTCTCCAGATTTCCAGAACCTAGAGTCTCTGGCTTCTTCCTCTACTCGATTCTCATCTATCAGGCCCTCATGTCCTCACTTCTCTGTCCAGATGAGTCCCTTCACTCAGCCTCCATGTCCCACACACCGTCGACTCCTGTGTTCTCCATCACACCACCTACATTCGTGGAAATGTGTCCCAGACTCCAGCAAACCCAACATGTCTAAAAACCAAAGTTACCTTTCTCCGCAGAGCATCTTTCCTCTTCTGTCTCTTAGCTCAATGAGAGAGACTGCAGTGTGAACCTTTTGACACTGGTCAGTAATAAAGATGATAGTGAATATTTCTTGTGTACTCAGCACTGGGCATTGTACCAGATGCTTTGCACATGGTTTACTGATAATTCCATGAGGGAGGGATTGTTTTCATTACCATTTTACAGATGAAGAAACTGGGCACAGAGAGATGGAGTGACTCGTGCAAGGTCAAACAGCCAGATGGCAGGGCATAAAGGGAAGGTTTAAGATGGTGAATGCCTAACCTAGGAGGGCCAGTTCTGAGGTTGAGTTCGTCAGCTAACCCTCATCTTATACTAATTTTTCAGAGAGGAAAAATGCTCACATCTAACCAGTCATCACATCCTAGTTCTTAAAAATATCTCCAATCCTTCTCATTGTCCTCTATCCATCTGCTACCAACCTACTTCACCCAGGGCACTAGAACAGCGCTCTGTCGGCCTCTCCTTTCACTCTGTAGCAGAGTGGATCATTTAAAAATGCAAAAATGACTATATCATTCCCCAGTATAAAGCCCTTTTAGGCCCGCCTTGCCACAAAATCCTCCTGTTTTATAATCTAGAGCCTTCATTTCATTTCTCAGTTCTCCTTCCTGTGGATCCATGAGGTCTCTGCCCCTGCTCCATCTTGCCAGGCTTTCTGTTCCCTTCCCTGACTCCCAAGTGAGGCCTGTCTGCTTCCTCTGTTAAGGATGTGGGAAGATGTGGAAGACAGGCCTTCCACAGAATGTTGTTCTGCGTTGTGTGAACTGGTAGACCTTGCGTAGGCTTCTCTCTGTGCTTGAGATTCCTCTCTGAAAAATGAGGATAAGAAGAGTGTGAAAGGAAGGATTTAGGATGATGAATGCCAAATTCTTCGGCTACTGGTGAGGACTCTGGAAGTGCTGCCTTTTGAGTCCTTGAATGACAGTGGGGATAGCCGTAGCTGCCTTTACAACCAGATGGTTGCTATGTTCAGCAGTGGGCAGGTGGTAGGCACGGTGTACAGCTTCCTCCACCCACCCCCACCCTCTGTCCTTCTATCTGGCCCTTTTCTCCCGCAGTCTGCATTTCAAATTTTCCTTCCCCTTTCTTTCCACCTTTGATGCCACAATTCAGTAGAATGAGATAACAGAAAGATGGTTGAAGGAATCTGTCAAGAAAAAGATAATGGTAGAAGTTGCTGGGGCCACATCAGGCAAGGGTGGGGGAAAGCAAGAGACTTAACTGTGGGGAAAGGTATGGGAGAATTCAGAATTGCAGTGTGCTCAGTTGTGTCTAGGGCTTGTGGTGGAATTTGAAGTGATGTTTATGCGGTTAAAGTATTCCTTAATATCGGAAGACAGTGGTATGTGGTCACATCCTGGTTAACAAGAAGCCAGTTAACTAAAGGCTGAAAAAGATCTTTTATTTTACTTTTCTTACATTCAAATTGGACAAAGAAGCAAATGGCAATAAAACAACCTGATAATTTTTAAATTATTACTAAAAAGTAAAACTGTGAGGGGGATATTCTGAAATTAATTTGGATTCAGCAAAATAACTTCCTCTTTGTAATCATTGTTACTATGTGAGAACAAGACTCAGAATCATAATTAGGGGGCATTTCATTCATGTCACGCAGATTCTTACTGTAGAATCAACTGATTTAGAAAACTAGAGGCGGAGGGAAGAGGTGGACCTTTATATAGCAGGTCACATACACTATGCTTTCGGAATTATTCACCGAGGTGAAAGAATAGAGATTAGCTACTGGTGAAGGACAAAAAGAATTTTCTGCTGAATCCCAAATTCGCTAGGATGACTCCTTCCGGAACTGCCAGTTTATCAAGGCCGAGTATTCGGAACCTCAAGTTAGACACTCTCCCTATCCTTTGGGCCCTCAGGCCCCCTTGGACACTGTTGTAAGAAACATGGTGCTTTGAAACAAGACCCCAGGCTTTACGTCAAAATGAAGTGGCTCTTGCCCAGCTTCCTATTATTCAGTTAGATTGTGATTATGGGTTTTTAAGCCAGGCCTACGGACTTTGTGAGCTGCCAGAACTCACATTTCTGTTTAGGCTGTTGAAGAAGTTTGATCTGATAGACATTGCTTCCATTGCAAAAGTTCGATTTGTTGGTTCATTCAACAAATAGTGATTGAGATTTTCCCATGTTCCTGTTACTATAGGCAATCGGTGATATACCAAACCAAAGTCTTTTATGTCCTTATAGAAAAACCTAACAACTGAAACATTTAGAATGCTGAAAGGTGAAGCATCAAGAACACAAATGGAGAGGGAGTGAGACGGGCAGCGTAGGGTGTCTGTATTTCAAATGAGGCTGTCAGAGCAGGCCTTTTTGGGGAGGGGACTTTAGAATAAAGACCTTAAGGAGGGGCAAGAGCAATTGTTCGAAATGTTCCCCACTTAAAAGACTCATGTTTTTCCTAGAACTCTGTTAACTAAATATCAGTTGGCACTGAATTTGCTCTGCACTCTTTATTAAGGTTATATAAAAGTAATACTTTGGCTGGGTGCAGTGGGTCACGCCCACAATCCTGGCACTTTACAAGGCGGATTGCTTGAGCCCAGGAGTTTGATACCAGCCTGGGCAGCATAGTGAGACACTGGTCTCTATCTTTAAAAAAAAAAATGCTTTTCTCTTATTATGAATGCAGTTATCTGTGTTATGTGTTATTACTAATTGGGTTTTCTTTTCTTTTTCTTTCTTTTTTTTTTTTTTTTTGAGACAGAGTCTTGCTCTGTCACCCAGGCTGGAGTGGAGCAAAGCAGCATGATCTTGGCTCACTGCAACCTCCCTGGGTTCAAGTGATTCTCCTGCTTCAGCCTCCCAAGTAGCCAGGACTACAGGTGCGTACCACCACACCTGGCTAGTTTTTGTATTTTTTTTTAGTAGAGGCAGGGTTTCACCATGTTGGCCAGGGTGGTCTTGAACTCCTGACCTCAAGTGATCCACCTGCCTCGGCCTCCCAAAGTGCTGGGATTACAGGTGTGAGCCGCCATACCTGGCCTGTTCATATGGATTTTCTAAAATTTTTTTTTTTTTTTTTTTTTTTGAGACAGCATCTTGCTGTATCACCTAGGCTGGAGAGCAGTGGCACAATCATGACTCACTGCAGTCTCAACCTCCTGGGCTCAAGTAATCCACCTCAACCACCTGACTAGCTTGGACTACAGGTGCATGCCACCACCCTGGCTAATTTCTGTGTTTTTTTGTAAAGATGGGTCTGATCTCAAACTCCTGGGCTCAAGTGATCCAACTGCCTCAGTTTCCTGAAGTGCTAGGCCTTTTTGGGGAGGGGACTTTAGAATAAAGACCTTAAGGAGGGGCAAGAGCAATTGTTTGAAATACTCCCCACTTCAGAGGCTCATGTTTTTCCTAGAACTCTGTTAACTAAATGTCCAGTTGGCACTGAGTGCATGAGCCACTTTGCCTGGCCAATATTTACTCTTCTGATAAGACTCTATCTTGTTTGCCTTTTTTTTATGTGCATGAACAATTATGTTCATATTTATTTTCATGTCATGTTGATATTTCCCAAAGCAATAATATAATATTAAGAAGCAATATATCACATGTGTAATGGATCCTTGAAACTGTTTTACAAAAGTTATCTAGAGTGGGTTGTTTGTTTAAAGCCTACAGCACCTTGTATTCCCAGGCAGTCTCCCATCCAAGTAGTAATGAGGCCTGACCCTGCATAGCTTCCGAGGTCAGACAAGATTGTGTGTGTTCGGAGTGTGTGGCTGTAGACAAAGTGTTTTGAGATACTAGATGTAATCAAGGGCTTTAACTGGACTGCTTGATCTTCAAGTTACAGTGCAGTTAGATGCCAAAGAGTATAGTATAGCTTGAATGGAGGAAAAATATGATTGGAGATGAACACCAAAATCAAGAGATGGGAAAGGAGGGGCCGACCAGAACGGGTTTCCATAGTTGCCTCCCAGTTTTTCTTGGTGAGGAAGAGTTGATTAGCTTAAGAAATCATCTTCTCTGCTTCCGGTACAATCACTCACTCCCTTAGTCCCCCTGCTTGTTCTCACCTGGAACTATTTGGTTCTTCCCTTGAGTCAGGGGTCAGGGAGCAAAAGGGAGGAAACTGCTAGAGACTGAGATCAACCCATACTCTGAAAACAGCTTATTTGGCAAGGAAGCCTCTAGCACCCTAGCCCCTTTGCTGAAGTGCCCTGAGCATTGAGAGCATTCGGTTGTTTTCTAGCTGCGGTTGGATTTCTCACAATGTCCAGTGTTATCTCCATGTCCGCCCCTTTCTTCCTGGGGAAGATCATCGATGTCATCTATACCAACCCCACTGTGGACTACAGCGACAACCTGACCCGCCTCTGCCTTGGGCTCAGTGGTGTGTTTCTGTGTGGTGCTGCCGCCAATGCCATCCGTGTCTACCTCATGCAAACTTCAGGTAAAAGTCTCTCCTCTCAGGGATGTGAGTCATCCTGAAGAAGATGTGGAGTCCTGTGGGTTTGTTTGGGTTCCAATCTCATGTGCTCCAGGCTCCATTCTCTTCCTCTCTTCCTGGCATCCCGTTAAGTGGGGATAGAGCCCAATGACTGCCCACGTATTGGAGTTATAGATTATTTTAGATCAAGTACTTTTCAACTTTTCTTTTACAGTTGAAGTTGAGCTCATGTCTGTCTTATGGGAGGTTTGAAAATAAGGTCCCTGGCCATGAAGCTAAACTTCTGAGACTTCCCGAAGGCTTCAGAAACCCATTTACATGCCCCATGCTTGTGTTTCTCCTTAAGTAGCAGCTGGGATAAAAACTTTGTCAATATTTCTGTGAAGAGGCCTCGTTGTTACTGGCAGGTCACTGCCACAATAATGAGAGAACCCGGGACACCAATTCCAAGTCTGTTGCTCTCCATTTAGCTCTGTGGATAATTAACCAGTTCTTGCCATTTGAAGGTTCAATACAAAAAAGGGTTTCCAGGGAGGAACAAAATGAGCTTTTGGAGGTTAATGTAATACAACTTCTTCATAAATAATATCATTAAAAAATCTCATCTAAGTGTAATACTCATGCCTGTAATCCTAGCACTTTGGAAGGCTGAGATAGGAGGATCATTTGAGCCCATTAATTTGAGACCAGCCTGGGCCAAATAGCAAGACTCCGTCTGTATAAAAAATAAAAATAAATTATTGGGTGTAGTGGCCCACATCTGTAGTTTCAGCTACCCAAGAGGCTGAGGTGGGAGGATGGCTTGAGCCCAGAAGGTTGAGGCTACAGTGAACTATGATCACGCCATTGCATTCAAGCCTTGGTGTTAGAGCAATACCCAGTCTCTAAAAACAAAAAAAAAGAAGTAAAAATTTTAAAAGCCTCTGAGTCATGTTATATTTATCTTATCCCTGTATACTCTCATTAGCACCCACAGTCAGTAGTTAATAAGAGAAAAGTAGCATTCATTAGTAGTGCATGACCGTTAATGTGCCAGAGACTTTGGGAAAGTCTCTTTCCACCCATGGGATACAGTGCAACAGACATGCTCAGAGGCTGCTTTGCTCAGAAGGGTTACAACTCCAGGCCAAGCTGCTGCATAGTGGATGGCTGCCCCATAATGGTAACGGATGTCTTTACTCCAGGTGAGACTGTTTGTGTTTGCTTTTGCAGGTCAGCGCATTGTAAATAGGCTGAGAACTTCATTATTCTCCTCCATTCTGAGGCAGGAGGTTGCTTTCTTTGACAAGACCCGCACAGGAGAATTGATTAACCGCCTCTCATCAGACACTGCACTCCTCGGGCGCTCAGTGACTGAAAACCTCTCAGATGGGCTCAGGGCTGGGGCCCAGGCTTCTGTAGGCGTCAGTATGATGGTATGTTGGCCTGGTTCCCCTTGGTACCTTCCTGCCAGGGCCTGGCTTGCACCAGGCCTCTCAGTTGTGAGATGAGCTCAAGGTGATCAGTTTGCATCATTCTGTAAGTGCCTAGAGCCAAAAGTGCTGTCGCAGAGGCTGCTGGGACGTGGGGATTGCCTCCACATGCATGGCCTCTTATACCTTCATTTCTACAGAATG